AAGGGAAGCACTATCAACGGAGAGGAAAGTCACCAGTGAGGTGCCACAAGACCCCGTCCTAGGACCGATACTTTTCCTACTGTATGTCGATGACTAAGTGAGGGGCTTGTGCATCTCGACACTCGTGTTTGCGGACAACGTAAATTTAGTCAACTCAAGCCCGCGAGATCAACTACAGGAAGACCTAACAAAGGTTATCTGTTGGACTCAGATGTGGGACCTAAACCTTAACCCGTTAAAGTGTCACATATTAAGCACCAACGACGGTCCAATTAGTGTAAGCACAGATTTGGATACCACCAAACTAACGCGCGTAGCCCAAATGAAGAACTTGGGGATAGTAGTTTTCAAAAATTACATGCCAGGCGAACAGTGCAAAGCCGCAGCACAAAGGGTGAGACGTCAACTATTCCAGTTTAGAAATACACTGACCACCCGAAAGGCAGAAGTCTGTATCCAGCTGATAAGGCACTGATGAGACCCCACCTAGAGTACTGTGTCCAGGCCTGGGCACCCTAACTTCAGAAAGACATCCTGTGCATCGAGATGGTTCAAAGTTTAGCCACTCGGTTGGTCTCAGGCATGAAGGACAAGTCATATGGAGAAAGACTTGAAGCGTTAGACCTTTTTTCAGAAATTAGCGCCGTCCGCAAGTAGTGAATTTAGCTTAAAGACATGTGGTTGGTCGTTTATCAATGTAAAAAAAGGACGAAAACCCTAGCACAGATCATTGCTGAACTCTTCGGAAAGTGGCGATAGATCTACATAATGAATAACAAGCTCGAACAGATGAGGTTCTTTGTTGTAAAAACTCTTTGACAAGTAGACAACCAAACCCCTTACTTCGTAATTGTACAGATTTTGCAGTAGAATTCGTTGGCTTACTTGGTCAAATGCTTTGGAGAAGTCCGAATAAAATTCGTCCAATGGATTCCCTGTGTCGACAGATTTTGTTCACTCATCTCGCCGAAGAAGGCGATTTGTGGTGCATGCACGTTTATGCAAAACTCCGTGCTGAGCTGCAAACCGTTCTCCAGTTATTCCATCAATAGATCTACCACAATAGCTTTCATAAATTTCGACAGTATTGAAATAAGGGCAGGTAACAAGGTGGTAGTTGGCCGGATCATTGTGAGAGCACCTTTTATAAATGGATGAAATTACAGTTTCCTTCCATGATTACGGAGTTGCCGCCTTGTCAAACAAATTTTCAGGTTCGGATATGTCATTTTCTGGTGAGAGTCTAAGGTTCAACGCTGTCTGCGTCAGGGGATGAATTTTACGCACATTTTGTAGTTTTTCTGTTACTGACTTACCTTTAAAAGCGATTTTAGCGGATTACGGATACGATATACAGTGTAAACTTATAAGGCGATTGACTCTAAGTTGTTTGTCAATATTTGCATGGTGCTTAAAAATGAACAAATCGGTTCATTTCAGTTCGTTGTTTTTTAATGTTTTACTTTCTTTTTGCCGGATTACCTCACGGCCAAGCCATTTATCTGAATAATATGCATTGTATTATTTCCTAATCTTCATAACCACACACGAGAGATGGAATAGCATTTGAAGTCAGAAGTTTGCGATCATATTATATGATAAGTAATAATGGTAAAAATAATTACATCAAACCATTTCGAGCACAAATAAATAATGTCTGTACCAAAATCGACTTCACATGAAAACAATAGAGTATAAAGTTACTAAGACTGTTCATAGCTTACTGTCCAGGGGAGCGTTTAGAATTAAAATTCAAACAACTAGTTTATTTATGCAAGGAATCATGCAGTTTGAAGAAATAGTAGCGAACAGATCGTTTTTATGCTTAAAAATCATTCCAATAAATCATGATGTACGTTTGAGTAGTCATAAATACAAAAATGTTTGAAGGAGAGGAGAATCGTTTAAAAATTACTGCCACTTTTCTATATTCATTTCAGATACTGTATTTTAATTATTCAAATAGTTAAGTTTTCATTCATTCATTTTCATTCTCAAATAGTCAGGAGGTGTGTGTGGGTCCAAGAAAGCTCCGGGGTGGATGAACCCATCCTACCTCCGCTGTGGATAGCATACATACCAAACGGTCTTAGGGAGTTGATGGAAAATCACATTCACAGATGAAAAGCCGTAAAAGTGCTCAACATATAAATTTTATAATGGAATTATTTGCGTCAGTGTCTTTTTTGTATCCGATAGAATGTTTTGACAGTTTCATCATTTTCGTGTGAAAACGAGCAATGTCACATATTGTTCCGGGTATGGGAGTGTCAAATGATGTCCGTTGCTCCAACGTTTTGCGCTTATACTGGCACTGGGATATGAGATTTACCAGCGCTTAATCAAGTATTTAACAGACGACACAGAAACGAGATTTATAGTGTGGTTTGTTCCATGAAAATCCAGGGCCCTGATGAAGAAACTGAACGTTTCAGTTTTCAGCTACGTGGGGGTCATGTTCAGGGATTCGTTTTTTCAATCGCATAGCCGTGCAATCCATTCATACTATTCTACGGGGACAGTTGAGCGAGCATGATTTTTAGTCGTAAGTAGATAATGGACTTTTTATCGATAAAACATTGAACTTTACGACTTCGATAGATAGGCGTTAGATAATCTTCTTTGTGAGACTTCAGCTGATGTATCGCACCGGAAGGGCAACGAAATGTGTAGTGACTTTCTGTAATCTCAGGTTTCTTGAAAATATCCCACTACACTGCATTATCTTCTTAACTAGGCTTTTCGTGTACCGGTTGTGTTTGGAGCAATGCAAAGCATCGATGATAAATGTGTTGGTGTTTTCACGCTTTCTTACTACTTAGCGAACGCTGTGCCGAGGGATAAAGTCTATACATTTTTGCAATACAAGTGCGTTTTCTCACTTTTAAAGTGAATCTCATTTCCTTCGGTGGCATTACTTGTGCTTGAAATGTGTTAACTGCACTTTCATTCTTTCTAGACACAGAGAGTATTTTCCCAAACATACTTACATATCTGAGATGATCGTGGAATAAAAGTTTATATTTGCCAATGTATACATGAACCATATTAGGCTTCAAAAACATATCGCTTTGCTCTGATTTCATTGCGTTTTATCCACTGGGGTTTTGCGGGTTGATAGGAAATTTACACAGCGCAAGAAATAAGTACAAACAAGAGAAAAATAAGTCAAATACTAGCTACGTCATCGTTGGTGTTTGCACCTTATCAATTAAAATGGTTAACTATATTTTATGTATTTGTTTGCTGGGTGGGTTTTCGTGTTCTCCGAGCTTACCGAGCTCAGCGGACTAAAATTAGTCTTGGTTCACTTCAAGGTTGTTCTGTTTTGTGGAGCCAGCAAAAAAAAAACATATTAAAACCCATGTTTGGAAAATAACCAAAAATATTTCCGGTTTTTCTTGTGTTTTCCAACCAACCAATTAATGCATGAATAATGGTTGTAAAAACTGAAACTCAAACTGAAACATGTTTTTTGTCCATCACTGGAATGTAGGAATTTCCATCATATAAACAAAAAGATTTTGGACGAAAAACAACAATCCAAAGGAAAGGGCTAGCAACTGATTGCTGGTAGATTCCGAAATCAGTTTCTAATTGAGGATTAGTAGGTGTAAATTCCTAGCAGCGAACGATTGGAGATAACAGATTATACAGAAAGCTATTTTCTGTGGAAGTCAATGGTTCTGAGATTAGAACGTAATACCGTTATTCACTACCAACTCACTATTCCTTTACTTTCCCAATAGTGTTTCAGGTTTTGATTACAATAAATTATACAATCATAAAGGCTGATGCTTTAGCGTGTGTCTAGCATTTGTATTAAAATCACGTATTAAGTGGGAAGGTTTACATTTTACAAGATTAAAGTATTGTGAATTGATTTATGCTGACGCTGTATCTTTCGACCGTACCATAAGGGAATGAAGGTGGCTCAACTTAATACTTTATTCCCCGAATTTCTTAGGTACCAAGGATATCCCGGGGTGGGAAGGGGAGTTATGCCAGTGATAAGCGAATCGTGAAGACACAAAAAAACCGCCGAATGGCAATTTTTTACCAGTGCTTTTATTTTTATTCCCCTCTTTTGCGATGCTAGTCACATTTGTGATCAGCGTATGCGCACGAGGAAACGATAATTGGATTTCCTCGGCATTTCCGGATGGATTAAAAGATTTATTTTTTTTACAATTGCTGAGGTGACAAACAGATTATCGGTCTGACGATCACTGATGAGGAGAAGATCACAGAAATATTATTCGATTCTCGCAAATTAGATGAATTTTGTTCCGTGTAATCTTATCTACCCCTATGCGATACTGTTGTCTATGTAAATGACTAAACTAGCATCCTGGTGATTTGTCAAGTAATTTGCTCTTAATATGGTATTTGCAAGTGAAATTATCTTGGAAAATCCAGGAATACTGCCGCGGCACTTCGGTTATTTGATTGAACTTGTCGGACAATCTTTGTCCCTCTATCATCAAAACACGGGGACACAATAGTCTGAAACGGATGACAGCGGGTAATAGACAGGGGATTAGTTATGATAGCCACACTTGTCAATAAATACAAAGAGAACAACTGGAATCGTTTCAGTTTTCTAATTTGACACCAATTCACTATGCATTTTTCGGTAACGGTTTCAGTTGCTACTTTTTCCCCTTATCATATCACTAAGGGATGATTGCGTGATGGCTAGCAAGTATTGTATTTGTGTGTGTGTGTGTGTGTGTGTGAATGAGTGCAACAATTGGTAGGAATGTGTGCTCACCAGTACCAGGATTACAAGTTAAAAGGACTATTTTATTTTGAGCTTGGTTGATTTTACTCTGATTCACTTATTGTCATCATGCAACAAAAAACGCTTCTATCACAAATTATATATACTTTGTATCAGTATTTTGTGAAAAAAATCAAGCATAAAATGCTAAATCACACTACTTTTTCAGGTGGAAAACATTCGACCAATACCCGCGATCCCAATATCCGGTCCCCCCATGCGCGGGGAATCCAAATCGTCCACGGCCGTTGCTTCGAAATCCTTGTCCAACACAAGTCGGGCGGGTGATTGGCTTGGCAAAAAGACCAGATCGGACGAAATGAAAATGAAAGATATCGATCGTATTGCCTCGAACGCACAACGGAAGAGACAAGTGTCATCCAGATTTGTGGGCAGTGAAGGAGATGACCTAAAAGCTCTACCACTGCTAGTAGGTCAGTAATTGCCGAATAANAATAAATTTACCGGTTATTTGAGTTTGGAAGTGAGATTGCCTGAGTTATTATGCAATCCCGTGTGTGGTTTTCGGGGATGAAATTAACCCGAGGAGAATGTGGTAAATATGATAATCTGGAACTCATGCTACAATGCTAGGCAACAGATGGGGAAAATACAGATGTTATTTCCATATACAAGAGAAAGGCCATCCTCATGGTTTAAGCTTAATCAAACTTAATGTTCCAACTCGGAAACTGGGTTGTTTTGTTTTTTACTGACTCAGTATTACGATTATGGTGCAGTTTCATTTTAAGATTTTACAACCAGTAACCATGCACTTTCGTGCGCCGGTTTTGGTTGCTGTATTTCAGCCACCCATTTGGATGAAAGAGCCGAGGGAANTGAGTGCAAATTCGTCGGAGAAGATAGAGGATTCGTATAGACTGAAGTTTCAATAACATTGAGTAGATGCATAAACACCGCTGTTTGTGACACCCGGTCGCATCACTCAGTGTCTCTATCAATCGGTGACTATGATTTCGGGGCGTCAATCTATGGAATCTCACGTTACCTATGTGACCCAGTGTCCTGGTTAGGGTTTTCGTACCCTCATGCTAGGTTTCACTCTAACCACCCTTGATCCTTTTCTATCTGCTATCTGGCTTGGCAAACATAACACGCAGTGGGAGTCTATTTGGTAACATGCGCAGCACGTCTCAGCCAGCGTAATCTACAGAGGTCGACCACTTGCTTCAGTGGATGACCACGGTTACCCAAAATTCTACGCCTAACCTCAGCATTTCTCATCCAGTTTCCCTACCGGACTTGTGCAATGCAATGTAGACAGCATTGTTGGATCGCCGACAGTTAATTTTTATCCTGTTTACGTAATAACCCAGTCTCTTTACTGTATGGCAGCACTAGCCGAACTGTTACTGCATACACTTGGCCCTTAAAGGACAGCCGAATGTCGCGATGGCACTACAGATGTCTCGAATTGGTAAATGCCAACCGAGACTTATGTAAGGGTGCCGATACTTCGTATTTGATGTTTCCGCCAGGTGAGAGGTAGCTGCCCAAGTGGCAAAATATATCTGCTTTCTCTATTACTTCTACAGTCAGGTTGAGGTTGGGGGCTTGACCAATCCAATATTGTAGCAACATTTGACATTTTGAAGGTACAGAATGCACTCAGACTATATTGAAAAGCTTACCTAAGTCTCCGCCTAGTGTCACCTGCAAACTCCAGATTAGACAGTCTGATAACTGGGAGCAAATCGATGTCCTCTATCCTTGCACGAGGATAGAGCTGATTCAAGAATAAAGCCTACCGTCTGTTTGAGAACAACCGGGCTTTGTCTGGGTCGAAAAATTTGAAATCATAATTTAGCCCTGTCTACTGGCACAGCTGCAATCTCACGTGGTTAGTAAATTCGTGATCAAACACTCACTAATCAGGGGCCTCATGACAGCCCAGGGTAAACCCTATAAAGGACATGTGAACCCTAGTAGAATAGAACTCGATCGTTTGAGCGAGAGACAGAGAAAGAGTCAATGATTCCATTTATCTACGGTAATCAAGTGATGGAGGAAATAACGTTTTCTCGAAGCTGGAACTTTCATGAATACTAATAATACTAATACTAATACTACTACTACTAATAATAATAATAATACCATACCAAATTTCCTAAGTTAAGCAGTTTTATCATGTTGTTAAACACCATTCAGAACAAACAACCTTTGCGAAAAGGGAAAAAATATCTGATGAACTAAGCGAAAACGAAAAAAGCTTTCCAAGTTTTCCTTTTATTAATCGCTTAAGCAGTGATTTGCTGAAGCTTACCGACGAATGAACTTTTAGGTTCCTTTGAGAAAGTTCCATGTGCATATGGATGAAATAAAGAACCATTTAACGAATTCAATATTCAATATTCAATTTGATGCATTGGGTCCCCGTGTAAGGGATTCGTTTTGAGCAGAAAGAAGACAAATACTGCGAGATGTTAACATTTCTTTTGATCTCCTCAGATAGTATAAAGCAAAGCAGTCTGGCAGTTATACAACAAAATGTTGATCACAGCAATGGTTTAACGGACAACAGTCAGGAGAGAGGGAAATCAGTTTCACAGTCGATCATACGGTAATGTGACCGATTGACTCAGACACAGAGATGCACTGAACATCTTAGTTAATATTGCTTCACTGAAAGCTGACAGCTTGGGATTCATGTTACGTAACAAAGGCTTGGTTATCATGATTGATGATCCTGAATTGATCTTATCACCTTGACCTCTGACGGGGTGCTGCGTCACTGGCTGTAATTACCACTTGGGAGTGTGTTCAGAGATTTGTTCTGACAGGGGTCGATTTGTTCTGCCATTTTAAGTGTCAACACAACTGCAGGTGAGCTGATGGACGACATGTGAAACAGAATTGGGCGTCTGGCTCTGTTTTTAATTGTCCAGACCAATTCCATGAATGTACGGTATCCGTCGAAGCTTTGGGGCAGGAATTGTTGGACGGAATTCAGATTTGAACTTCTGACGCACCTCGTCCATTAGATAATCATCCTTGAAGTTTAGTATGCAGAAGACACATTGTTTTGAAGCACTACAAAGAAAAAACCATATGGAGGTCAAAAGATGACGAGAAAGCAAGGCATGAAGAAATTCATAGAGTGATTAGGTAGATTAGTTGTCTCGTACCTTCCAATTTGGGATCCGAAATAGTCCACAACCGGTTGGTTGGAAACACTGAAAGATATGGCAGCGAACCGACGTTGGTGGTGTTCTGGTTGCCAGTTCTTATCAGGTCAGAATGCTTTTAAAGGTATGTATGCAGAGTTCCATTATGCACTCGCTGTGTTGACCATAGAGGTTCATCTTCTCTTTCTCTCAAAAAAGGTCCAATCCTTGTTCACCTAAACGGTAACACTAACCTTGTATGCATTGCGAGTTTGCCATAGATCAGTGAAGTTCGCTTCACTGCATTTGGCTGCCAAATGATGATGATGATGATGAAACGCACCGAGCAGTGCCGGCTGATAGGAAATTCAAAGTGGGAAAAATGCCCCATAATACCCATCTCACGGAAAGGATGCTCACCCGAAAGCTTCAGATTCTGTTGTTGCATGGTAACATTGTTCAAGCTCAATGCAAAACTCTGCTACTAATTGTGTAGCAGAAAGGCGAGCTGGCTGGGAAAA